TTATTTTTAGCAGAAATATTGTAGTTTATCATATAAACCAGCATTAGCTCTCCACATTCCTGTAGCCGTCCATCTCCTGGCTGACATGCGCCACCTGCTGGAGGCTTTTATGCTTTGATAACCATCAGAAGCTTGTGGGGAAAAGGAAATGTGGGCTGGATGGATTTGAAACTGTTGGAGAAGTGAAAATACAGTTCTGAGAGACTGCTTCAAGGGCTTTGAGTGATGAGGGAGAACAAACTGAATATCTCTCTCTCTCTCTCTCTCTCTCTCTCTCTCTGTCTCTCTCTCTCTCTCAGGAGGAAGACTCTGGTCAGGAGGAAGAGGTGGACGATGAGGATGATGACGAGGAGGAGGACGAGGATGGTTAGTTTGTTTCTTATTGAGTTTTTTATTCTTCTAGTGGGATTTTAAAGCTAATCACTTACCTCTGTCTCATCTCAGACTACATGTACCGTCTGAGCACTTCAGATTGTTTTGAAAGAACAGTCCAGAATTGTGTCCATGTTTGTAGGATGTTTTATGATGTAGCAGCTCTCAGGAAGCCTGGGACCACTTATATTTACATTAACAAACATTATGTAATGTATTAGGAAAATACAGCGATACTGGATGTTATCAGTGCCACCCAGAGACGGCTGCGCCACGCTGAGTGGGAACTATGGACGCAGCGATTTAGGACGTCTATATCAGATTTTCCGGTGTTCACAAGCATAGTTGTTTGCAAAAAATGTGGGCACCCCTGGTCAAATTTCATGCTCTGCTGGTTTTTCTAAGTGAAAATGTCCTGCAGACTGCAGGGGCCATTTCAGGGTATTTCTCTGCTAATTTTTAAACCATTATTTCTGTTTATTTGCTTAATTGAAATTAAATAAATGTGCTGTAACTTTTTCACAGGTCACAGTTTACGTGTTTTTCAACAAAATGTAATCTGACCAGGATTGTCCAGAATTTCAGTGTCTGTATCTGCGATGCTTGTGCAGCGGCTGATTAGCACAAATTTAAACAATGCAGAAATTTGGATTATAAACTAAGAGAAGAGGAACATTTTATTGTTAGATGCTACAAATGCAGGAATAAAATCCAGATGTTTTAGCAGAAGAGCAGTATTTTCTTCAGGAGTACGGCGACTATATCAAGTATCGGTTTGGGTTTTTCCTCAGATCTGATTATTTTTTCTTTTTGGCAGAAATTCATGATCTGTTAGGCTGGGCGTCACTGCACGATATTCTGAATCTTTACGGATCCATAAAACGGAGAGCTTCACAAATGTAACGTCTGTTTGTTCCAGAATTCCTTGTCTTTTCGCCGTGAGGCGCTCAGACTAGACGACAAGGCAAAGAGAGGGAATAACACACAGAATGGGTTTCAAAATCCCACTCAAACTCCCAGAACTCCTCAGGTCTCACGGAGCTGAACTTACTGGACCTGTTTGGGCTTTAATGTGCAGCAAAAGCTCAAACTGTGGTGAGAAGCGCTGATTCAGTGAGAGCTGGACAAATATTTCACTGCAGACCTGCAGCTGAGCTGAAGCTGTAAAGAGAGCTGATCTGGATCAAATTATAAACATGATAATCATGATTTCGGCTCTTATCTGCTGTTTTACTCCCAGCTCCTCTGTCTCTGCTCTGCTCTTCGTTTGTCTTTTCTCCTGTTTCTCTGCTCTTCCTGCTCTCTGATTGGCTGTTTGAATCACTTGTTGGGTAAATCTCTGACAGTCTTACACAGCAGGACTCTTTTTGAGTCGTAAATATTCAAAATCCAGAGTTTGATCTGATCGGGGGCTAAAGATTCACTCGTTTCTCCTCTCGCTCCAGATCATCCGCACCGTCAGTCGCTTCCGATCGAACTCCCGATCTGGAAAATCACTTCAGGTTGTGAAAATTTGACGCCAGGAGCAAATCGGGGTTAAAATCAGGCAAAACGTCATGTGTAGGCCCAGCCTTATTAGGATCTGATGAGTTTGCTGTGTTGTTGATGGGTCAATCTGAATTGTCTCCCTGCAGAAGAGGAAGAGAACAAAGGAGAGAAGAGGAAAAGAGACCCTGAGGATGAGGACGAGGATGAGGACGATGAAGATTGATCTCCGTCTCATGTCTGCCGTGTGTGTGAGAGTGTGAGAGGTGTGTTTGAGTGTTAGGTGTTGCGCGTGTGCCTCTCGGTGCCGGTCGAGTGTGTTTTGATACTGAAGTATAGAATTCACTGAGGTATTATTTTAAAAAGAACGTTTTGACTTGACGTTAAACTCTTTTATAAGCTTCTCTTCCCGTTTTATACTCGCTAACTGCTTCACCTCTGTTGTAATTTTTTTCTTACATCAAAACCAAATGAATTTTTGTAAATAAAATCTTTTCTATTAGTTACGCTGTTGTATGTTTTAATGGTTTGTGTAAAGGATGATCACTATGCAGCTCAAAAGCCTGAAGTAGGGCTGACGGTATTTATCGTTTTCGCGGTAAATTAATCACGGTAAGGTTTTTTGAGCGTATCGTGGATGTCGTCAGATCTTAAACACTTCCTAACTGCGTGTTTAACTAAAGAGCATAATTATACATATTTAGCAGCACAGAGTATGAACTGCTAAATACAATTAAATGGATTCGTAATTTAATAGTTTGTTCCAACTTGGCGAAGGTCTAATTAATTTTATCGTGTATTGTCAGAACATTCTGAAGAATCGTGATATTACATTTTTGCCATATCGCCCGTCTCCAGCTTAAAGGACATCATATTCTTCCCTCCAAATGCAGATACTACACTTAAAGGTGGTTCTTCAGCGGCTCTTTAGTAAAGAAAATGGTTCTGTATAGAACCAAGAACACTAATAGAACCCTTTGCATGATATAAGGATTTTTTTCCTAGTGAAATGGTTCTTCAGACTGATGGAGAATGTGCTGTATATGGTTCTGTAAAGCACCAAAAAGCGTTCTTTTGTTTTGATGTCAAGCTTGTAACAGTAAACCCATTTCTATATAGATGGATTATATAGAACCATCTGTAGCACATTCTCTATCAATCTGAAGAACCATTTTATGATGCAACAAATCCTTTAATCATGCAAAGGGTTCTTCGAGTGTTTATAGTTCTATACAGAGCCATTTTATTTACTAAAGAACCGCTGAAGGTCTTTTTTTAGAGTGTACAGTGAATATTTGTGGGGGGGGTTAAACGTCAGGAGATTGTAGCTCACATACAGCACAAAGTAGAACTGTAAAAGTTCACCTACAATAACGCTTCATATGGACACTGATGATTTATCAATATTAAAACACAACTATATTAATTTAATCTCATACATATTCAAGCTTTAGTGCTTCACTCCTCTGTCTTGTTCCTGACTTTAGCTCAATTAAACAACCGTATATTTTAGATTCAATACGTTTTAATCTGAAGTTGAATTGATTGGAATTAAACCGTGTGATGTCACATTTGTCACCATACAGGAGGGACACTGTTATTGGACAGTTCTCATTTAAGGGTTGTGTTATTGATCTTACCAATATAATATGCAGTCAAAGGGGAAGTCCACCACAAATACGCAGTTCAGATGAAGCAGAGATTCAGAGTGGTTTGGTGTGAAATGGTTCAGATGTCTTTACAGTGGTGGTGATGGGAACCAGGGGTCGCCATGACTACAACACAAATATAGACATTTTATTTACTATCCAGAACCACCAGTGAACCTACACGAGTCTTCTGAGTTTATATGAATGTTGATGATGAAAATAGTGGAAAATCTGAAATAATAAGTTTTCTTTGGGGACTATTTTGCCTCACAGCGCCCTGCATGTATCCCTCCACCATGAATGGAGTTTAAGTTCTCTAAACGATCATAAAACAGTGTCTCAGTCATCAGGCAGTGAATTCATAACCATTTCATGTAGGAACTTTCTGTGAGGGAGCTTTTAGAGGTGGACGTCTGGTTCCTATCACCACCACTGTGAACAGCTCTGACTTGGTAAGTTTATCTAGAACATCAAACCTCTCTGAATGACTCTGGTTACATCTTAACTATTTCCTGCTTCATTAATCCTGAAAAAGGTCAGTTAAATGCTCCTTTAGTGAAGATCAGAGCCTTTGAGAACTTCAGAACCATAATGTAAACAGCCTCTCTTAAAAAGACTATTATCAGTCAAATTCCAGTGAGATCTTCAATGGTGAAACACCACCAGCATTACAAACCAGTCCGAGACTAGACTCTTAAAAAGGTGATGCTTCAAGGGTTCTTTAGTGAGGAAAATGGATCTATATAGAACCATGAACACTCAAAGAACTCGGAGCATGATTAAAAGGTTCTTTGCATTATGAAAGGGTTCTTCAGATTGATGGAAAACGTGCATGTATGTGCTACAGATGGTTTTATATAGAACCCTTTTGGGTGCCATATAGAACCCTTTCAAAAAGGTTGTATATAGAACCATCCACAGCACGTTGTCTATCAGTCCAAAGAACCCTTTAACCATGTTATTGAGTGCTCATGGTTCTATATAGGATTTTTTTAGAACCCTTGAATCACCACCTTTTTAAGAGTGTAGACTTAATCCATAGGGAAGTGGTCCCGAGGGTCCGTAAGTGGGTCACACGCTAAATTCTCCACAAACGTGTAACCTAAACAGTGAATACTGAACAGCCAGACCTACACAAACAGTGAAGATCAATAGAAACGTGTTCTCTTCTGCTGTTTGATGGACTTGAGATTATCTGGTTGACTGCAGTGTGAAAGTGGAACACTGTTCTAGAACAATATTAACTGTTCTACACATTTTATAGGACTGAATAATGTTGCCTGTTTATATGAATGTTGGCCTCATACAATCTAAAACATCAAGACGTCTACTTTCTTCAGTTTACAGCGATTGTCCATGAACACCTACCACATCAGGACCTGTCTGAAGTCCAGTAGCTGCTCTGCAGGGTCTTTATAAAGGACTAGCGGTCTAAATTTAAACTGGAGACTCATTTAAAACTGGAGCTGTAAGTCAACCACACGACGGATTCCATGAAGAGTGCATAAGAACACAGCTTTATTATTAAAAAAACCAAAAACAAAAGAAGAGACGAGTACTCTACACATTTCCGAAACAAAAACTCTTATAAAAATAAAGAAATCAAAACCGCTTCGTTTCAAAGTTATTGCTTACACTGTTTTAGAGTTTTAAAAAAATGAGAATAAAACAGAAACAGAACTTCCCACACGACTGTACACAGATCCTGAAACGATGGACAGCAAGAATAATAACCCAACCAGCACACACTCTAAAAGCTCCGCCCGGCTAGGTAAGCCTGCAGAAACGCAGCAGAGCCAACACGCGAGCCCCCCTCTACTTGTCGTCATCATCTTCATCCTCCTCCTCTTCGTCCTCGTCCTCCTCGTCTTCGTCCTCATCGTCGTCATCCTCGTCGTCGTCAGGGTCTGCCTGGGCTTTCTTGGTGGAGCCTGTGGGTCGGCCGGGTCCTCTTTTAGGAGCTCCGCCTCCAGCGCGGTACGCGGCGACATCCTGCACAACACAGACACTGTTCAGACTCCAGAGACACACGTGAGGCAAACCGGCGATACTTAGACTGTGATGGTGCTCAGGTGGGCAAAATAATCACACTAGATCATCAGTAGCTTTACTGGAGCTGTATTAGTGTAACCAGAGAAGGTTGTGTATCGTAATAAGTGCGATTTAATTCATCAACCAGTTCGGAATGAAGCATCTGAGTTCCTTCAAAATCCCAGAGGATCATATTTATTACTTACCAACACTGTCAGACTGTAAAAGTGACACCACTGCAGATTCATGATGGATTAAAATCGAACTCCACTGATTTTTCAATAATTCTGCATTATTAAATGGTTAAGTTGTAAACAAAGTCATTCAGAGTAGTGGTGGTGATAGGAACCAGACGTCCACCTCTAAAAGTCCCCTCACAGAAAGTTCCTACATGAAATGGTTATGAATTCACTGCCTGATGACTGAGACACTGTTTTATGATAGGTTTGAGATGTTTTGGCTTAAAAGTATTATAATCAATTTATTCTGATCTGTTCATGGTGGAGGGATACATTAAGGGTGTTCTAAGGCAAAACAGTCCCCAAAGGAAACTTGTTTTTCCAAATTTACCATCATCAACATCACATATGAAAACCTCAGAAGACTGGTGTATGGTGGCGGTTCTGGATAGTAAATAAAATGTCTATATCTGTGTTGTAGACATCAGGACCCCTGGTTCCTATCACCACCACTGTAGAGACATCAGAGTCAGTAAGTTTCTCTACAAATGAACCATCTCGCATCAAACCACCCTGAATGACTGAACTATGCAGACATTTAGAAAATTTGGTGGAATTCTCCTTTAAACTACTGTTCCTCCCCAGGTGAAACTAATCCAACTCACTACGCCTCCCCGATAAGAGAGAGAGAACAGAACGGAGCAGAACATCACCTTCTCATACTTCCCACGTAGCTGGACGGCCTTCTGATCGAAGGGCGCGCGGTCCTTCGTGCCCAGCTTGGACCACATCTCTCCCAGCTTTTTGGCGATTTCGCCGATAGACAAGTTGGGGTACTCGCTTTTCACCGTGGGTCTGTGTTCAGAACAGAAGATAAAAAACGCTGACCTGCAGGAGAGAGAGAGAGAGAGAGAGAGAGACAGAGAGAGAGAGAGAGATCAGTCAGCTCTGACAAACGGACTGAAAAACGGGTCTGTGATCGTCTCTGTGCTAACAGTGCGACTCACGGGGGCCGTTTGGGAGCGTTGGGGTCCTTCTTCTTCCTCTGCTTCTTGCCCATGCCCTTTGGGGGGACGTAGTGCCTCATCTCCTCGTCGTAGCGAGCCTTGTCAGCCTTCGCCAGGTCCTCAAACTTCTTCTTCTCTGATGGACTCAGAGCCTGCAAACACCACCCACAGAGCTCAGGACACTCCCCACCCTCACGCTGCAGCTGAGGACCACCAAGGCTTTGAATTTCACCGTGCATGCGCTGGACTCACCTTCCACTGTTCCGAGCAGCTCTTGGAGAACTTGCTGAAGTTCACTGGAGTGGTGGGGCTTTTCTTTTTGAGCTCATCCCTGCAGGACAGGACGAAGAACGCGTACGCAGAGGTCCTGCCTTTCGGCCTGTTCGCGTCTTTCACCATGACTGCGGAAAAAACAAGCTTATTAACGTTTCACAACAGAAAAGTACAGTTTAAACGTCTGCGTTCGGATGTAGTTACGATCCGCCCCACGCTTTAATGGTTCTGTTACTTCATTAAGAGAACGTGTGAGGTTCTACGCTGCTGTTTTGACTGCTGAGTCCTTTTGTTGTTGAGCTGAGTTATGTAGTTATATAATGTTGTAAAGTTAATCAAATTCAGATTTTCTGCTGTTTTGTTAGACACCAGAAGTGTGACTGTAAAACACTACACTCTTAAAATGATGGTTCTCCAAGGGTTCTTTAGTAAAGAGAATGGCTGTATTTTCTATATAGAACCATTTTGAAAAGGGTTCTATACAGCACCAAAAAAGGTTCTTCTATTGTTACACTCTCAAATGTGATGGTTCTTCAAGAGTTCTTTAGGAAAGAAAATGTTTCTATGCAGAACCATGAACACTCAAAGAACCCCCTGCATGATAAAGGGGTTCTCTGCATCATTAAATAGTTCTTCAAATTGATGGAAAATGTGTTGTATGTGCTATTTTGTAATATAGAACCATATTGTTATAATAGCACATTCTCCAATCTGGAGAACCCTTTAATCATACAAAGGATTCCTTGAGTGTTCATCTTTCTCCATAGAACCATGTTCTTTACTAAAGAACCCTTTTCAGTACCATCTTTTAAAGTGTGTATGATGTCAAGCTCATAACAACAGAAGAACCCTTTTCAGAAAGGCTCTATAAACAACCATATACAGAACTGTGTCACCATGGAAAGAACCATTTAAGCACGACAGTAGTTTTTTTTAAGGGCTCCATATAGCACCAAAAAGGTTCTTCTATTAATACAAGCTGGCGGAACCTTTTTTGGTACTATATAGCACCATTTTATAAAAAGGTTCTTTATAGAAGAACACATTCTCCAATCTGAAGAACCCTTTAATCATACACAGGATTCCTTGAGTGTTCATGTTTCTACATAGAACCATTTTCTTTACTAAAGAACCCTTAAAAGTACCATCTTTTTAAAGTGTGTACGAGGTCAAGCTCAAACCAAAAGTAGAACCCTTTTCAGAAAGGCTCTATAAACAACCATATACAGCATTTTCCATCAGTCTAAAGAACCATGTCACCGTGAAAAGAACCATGTAAGCATGACCGTTCTTTTTTTGCAAAAGGTTCCACACAGCACCAAAAAGGGTTCTTCTATTGATACAAGCTATCAGAACCCTATTTGGTGCTATACAGCACCATTATTATTTATAGGACACGTTCTCCATCAATCTGAAGAACCATTCTGCCACACAAAGAACCGTTTAGCCATGCAACCAGTTCCCTACAGAACCCCCTCACTAAAGAACCGTCTTTATACAGATAACGTTATATATTTATTGATTTATTGATAAATGATGTCACAGTTTTAGCCACGCGGTTCGAAAGATCTAAATATAGTCAAATAAGCCCCGACCCAAAGTAGATAAAGTGAGAACAAGTTAGAGGTGAAATGTCTAGAACCTACTGTTACTGCTCTTAAGGAGGGTTCTGCCCGAGTACAGTACCGTGGGCCCGAGTCTCCGCCGTGTCTCCGCCGAGTCCGGGGTCTAATCGGTCTAATACGGGACTGTCGACCCGCAGTTACGGCTCCGCTGCTAATGCTAATGCTAACCCGACTAGAACAATGGCCTCTCCTATTCTCTTTCCCGCTTTTCCATCCCCCAGCGGAACAGCTCGCGCTGACGAGGCTGAGGAGAATTCCACGGTCCACCTTAAATGGTGGAGCGGTTACGTTGTGGCGCGCCAGGCCTGAGGAGGCAGAGTGGGACCGCTGCCCGATTTAAGGTGGACCGGGAAAATTAAAAAAATGAGCTGGCGAATATGAGGTTAGCCGAGCAGCTAATGCTACAGAGCGTCATAAACACACACAGACGCGCGTATAACGCTTCAAAAACATACACAGATGTATATTAACCCTTTATAACACCCCAACAACCAAACTCGCCCGCTATCGGCCTCCGCGGCGGTTTCTGAGTGCTAGCTCCGGCTGACGGAGCTACGCGGCAGGGTTTTCTCTTTCTCCTACCCCGGCCTCCTCCGCCCCGAACACGCATCGCAGTCACGGCCCCATCGCGGATTAAAGCAGGAATACCGGATTAATGCAGGACCGACCTGAGCTTCGATCCGCGGAGCGAGGGCAGCTTCGCATCAACAGGCCATCAAACTTCAGCGCGGAGAGAGAAGCCGCTCGGTTACCACGGCAACAGACTGCTGTTGTGCTGAGGGCGCCTATCGGGCTACTTTTGAAGATCGGCCCCAGCGATTCGATTGGACGAGCGGCCCGTGACGTCACCGCGGCCCGGCGGGTTTAGACTAAACCGCCGCTGTGGTTTGTGTACATAACGTTTCTCCACATACATCTGGTTTATGGAGCAATGTTATTATTACAGTCAGGAGGAAAACTATACTCCAAAAGTATTGGGACACCTCCACATCACACCCACTGGAGCTCTGATGAATCCCATTCTAAATCCATAGGCATTAATATGGAGTTGGTCCCGCTTTGCAGCTCTAACAGCTTCCACTCTTCTGGGAAGCTTCTACAAGATGTTGGAGAGAGTCTGTGGGAATTTCTGCCCATTCATCCAGAAGAGCATTTGTGAGGTCAGACGCTGATGTTGATGAGAGGTCCTGGCTCACAATCTCCGTTCTAGTTCATCCCAAAGGTGTGGGATGGGGTTGAGGTCAGGGCTCTGTGAGGGTCAGTCAGGTTCTTCCACACCAAACTCACCCAGTCAGGCCTTTATGGAGCTGCTCTGTGCACTGGGGCTCAGTCATGCTGGAACAGGAAAGGTTCTTCCCCAAACTGTTCCCACAAAGTTGGAAATGTACAAGTGTCCAAAATGTCTTGGTGCTGAAGCATTAAGGTTCCCCTTCACTGGAACTAAGGGTTCTAGACCAACCCCTGAAAAACAGCCCCATAGCATCATCCCCCCTCCACCAAACTCTACAGCTGGCACAGTGCAGTCAGGCAGGTAACGTTCTCCTGGCATTCACCAAACCCAGACTCGTCCATCAGACTGACAGATAGAGAAGCTGATTCATCACTACACACAGAAAACGTTTCCACTGATCCAGAGTTCAGTGGCGGCGCTTTACTCCACTCCATCTGATGCTTGGCATTGTGCTTGGTGATGTAAGGCTTGAATGCAGCTGCTCGGCTATGGAAACCCTGACTTGAAGCTCCTGCTCAGCTTCTGTGCTGATGTTGAGGCCAGAGGAGGTTTGAACACTGCAGTTATTGATCAGCAGAGCGTTGGAGACGTTTATGTTCTGCACTCCTCAGCACTCGGCGACCCGCTCTGTAACTTTACGTGGTCTGACACTTCGTGGCTGAGTTGCTGTGGGTCCTAAACGCTTACATTTTTCAATAATATCACTCGCAGCTGATCATGGAAGATCTAGGAGGGAAGACATTTCATGAACTGACTTGTGTCAACGGTGGCATCTATTACAGAACCACGCTGGATCTCACTGAGCTCTTTAGACCCATCCTTTCACTAATGCGTGTAATGGCAGGCTGCGTGGCTAGCTGCTTGATTTTATACACCTGTGGCAATGAGACTGAATGAAACACCAGAATTCAATGATAAAAGTGTGTCCCAGTACTTTTGACCATATAGTGTATGTTATTAAGCTGATCTTTTGGATGAAGCTGGTCAACTACTTTTACTACTTTCTTGAGATAACAAGTTAATTATCACAAGATACTTAACTCTTTATTTCACGATAACAACTTGTCAACAACTTGACTAAAGTCCGCAGAGGCCTCGAGGTAGTTATTATTTTCTGGATAGTTATCTTGAGATAATGAGTTAACTATCTTCTAATCTCAAATCCCCGCTGGTATTTGGGGGCGTCCCATATTGGCTGTCTGCTTCAGTGTCAGAAAATGTCTGTTTTATCAGCTGTTCTTCTGTAGAGTCTCTGTTCTAGTGCGGTTCTGCGCTCTTCCTCACAGTAACTGAGATCTTCCTCGTCTCCTCTTCTGTAGAGTCTCTGTTCTAGTGCGGTTCTGCGCTCTTCCTCACAGTAACTGAGATCTTCCTCGTCTCCTCTTCTGTCTTCAGTGTGAGAAATGAGGAACAGTCACTCTTCACTCCAAACTCTTGGGAAACTGGGCGAGTTTTCAGATTTACAGATCTGCTGCAGCTCATTGTAAAGCGTTTCAGAGGAATCCGGGCAGAGTTACAGTTTCTAGACTATGAAGGACCAACTGGGTGAGCCAGTCTGCTACAGCGCCACCCTGAGGCAGAGCAGAGCTGCAGCTCTAGTTAGTTAAGATCACCAGAGACAGAAGCTGATTGTGGGTGAGGCAGATAAACAGTGACAGCATAACGTCAAGTTTATTTTGATTTTGAGACATTCATTGTGTCCAAGAGGTGAATTAAGGGGTTCAGGATCCCACAGGCCCCCCTTTTTTTCATACATCGAGCTCGAGTCCAGGTAAGTCTGCTGGGAAATGTGTCTTATCTCTTCTAATATCTGACGGACTTGAGTTGGGGACTAAGTTATCTGGCTAACTGAGAAAATGCTGCTCTGTGAAAGTGGTAATCAGTTAGTTTGCGTAGTCTCTGCTACAGGAGTTACTCTAAATACCCACAAGTCCACAGTATGACAGATTCCACGAAGAGTGCATGAGAACACAGCTTTATTATAAAACATGTTGTACAACATATTTACATATTAAAATATATGCTACATATAATTGAAAAGAAAACTCCCATAAAAGTAAATAATACAGTAAATAATTCAGAACCATTTAGGGTTTCACTTTAGTTTAACTGCACCACTGTACACAAATCCTGAAACAGTGGACTAAACCAGGGGCAGCAACCCAAACGTTAAGAAGAGCCATTTGGTCCTATCAACAAAAATCAAACCACTTTAGGAGCCACAACATTTAATGTCCGTTTTACCATCTTGGCTGTAGATACGTCTCAGTGTGTGCTGATAAACTAATGTAGGCTAAAAAATTATAAAATAAACAAAAACTCAGACTTACTTTGCTCTGCTTTAAGATTTAGCTCAGCTATAGCTGCTTTTCTCACATCTCTGGCAGGAAACGTATCTGCAAAAGTAGTTTCTTGGCATTCAACTGTTTACGAGGCTGAAGTTGCTTCTCATTCGCAGCGTCTTGTTTGAACGATCCGAATGAGAAACTGGCGAATGAGAATTTGACCTCATCTTCGTGACTTTTTAGTGTTTGTCAGTTTCTCGCTGCAGATTAAACGTATCAGGAAACCAGCTGGAGTGATTATAAACTCAAATAAGTCCATTTGTCTCCAAATTATCGATGTTCATCTTAAATCTCTCTCTTTGCCGTTTCGTTAGATACTAGCTAGGCGAGACTGTTGTCTGTGTTGCTATGGTGACCAGCAGTCTGCGCTGATCTTCAGGGTTAAAGGGTGAATTAGCAGTTCTACATTAACTCCAGAGTTTAAGACCATTTATTGTTAAACTGTGTTGAACGATCAGCAGAGCTTTATTTTACTGTAAAGGAGGATTATTTTATTTTTACCTACTAATCTGATTCAGCTGTGGAGCAACAGGACAGTAAAAGAGCCGCATGTTGCTGAATGCTGGGCTAGACAAATAATCCAACACACACACAGTTAAGTAATCCTGCATAAGCGCACCACAGTTCACACACAAGCCCTCTCTTTATCCTCCTCCTCCTCCTCTTCATCCACCAGGTCATCGCTGTCTTCGGCTTCCTCCTCTTCCTCATCTTCCATGTCGTCATCTTCATCATCGTCCTCCTCCTCATCGTCCTCCTCCTCATCTTCGTCCTCTTCATCCTCCATGTCGTCATCGTCATAATCGTCCTCTTCTTCATCATCCTCATCGTCCTCAGGCCCTGCCTGGGCTTTCTTGGTGGAGCCTGCAGGTTGGCCGGGTCCTCTTTTAGGAGCTCCGCCTCCAGCGCGGTACGTAGCGACATCCTGCACAACACAGACACTGTTCAGACTCCAGAGACACACGTGAGGCAAACCAGTGATACTTAGACTGTGAAGTAACACTGAAATTAGTTTAGATTAAAATCGCTCCACAATTACAGTCAGACTGTAAAACTACACACACTGCAGATTCACACTGGATTAAAATCGCTCCACAATTATTACTGTAAAACTACACACACTGCAGATTCATACTGGATTAAAATCACTCCACAATTATTACAGTCAGACTGTAAAACTACACACACTGCAGATTCATACTGGATTAAAATCACTCCACAATTATTACTGTAAAACTACACACACTGCAGATTCATACTGGATTAAAATCACTCCACAATTATTACAGTCAGACTGTAAAACTACACACACTGCAGATTCATACTGGATTAAAATCACTCCACAATTATTACTGTCAGACTGTAAAACTACACACACTGCAGATTCATACTGGATTAAAATCGCTCCACAATTATTACCGTCAGACTGTAAAACTACACACTGCAGATTCATACTGGATTAAAATCACTCCACAATTATTACTGTAAAACTACACACACTGCAGATTCATACTGGATTAAAATCACTCCACAATTATTACCGTCAGACTGTAAAACTACACACACTGCAGATTCATACTGGATTAAAATCGCTCCACAATTATTACAGTCAGACTGTAAAACTACACACACTGCAGATTCATACTGGATTAAAATCGCTCCACAATTATTACTGTAAAACTACACACACTGCAGATT